CATAAGCTCTACTCTTCTGCACAATGGTAACGACAGAAACTTCAACTTAACAGAAATTCTTTCAAATGTCAAACATAGCTGAACATTAAACATTAATAGATGTTTCCCTTTACTCAAAAACAAATGAAGGAGCACTTAATTTCAATATTTACGCTCCATATCCAGCCAAATGCTAATATAATATAATATAATATAATATAATATAATATAATAAAGAGATGATTTAAGCACAAATATATCACAACATTTGTGAACATCAGAACTGCAGCTGAAATGGCAACAGCAGGTCAGAAAAGTAGGTCAACCAGCTCTGAGAGAGAAGCAACAGGTCACAACACACTTGCACAAATTTACATTTCATACACACACACACACACACACACACACATACACACACACACACACACACACACACACAGACAGACAATCTATTTTTCTCTGCGGCAGCAGCTCAGCTAGAAGGAAACTGAGAGTATATGTACAACAGGTAAGATTTATGGGGCTGCAGAATTGTAGAATCAGAATAAACAGCAAAAACACACATAAACATTTGCAAGAAGGTAATGCTCACTTCTGTCATTTTGTCTGAACAAATATAAGCATAAATATTTGCAGAAATATACAAATATGTGTATGTGAACTTTTAAGACAAGAAAATTAAGTTTAACTGATTGTAAATAAAAAGAACAGTACTGGATTGAGTCAAACAGAAATTTTACAAAGAGAAAAATAAAAAAAATGCATATACAAACTCCTAAAGTACAATAGAAGATGTGCTAAGAACGACTGAAACACTCCCATTTCAACTTCAGCATAACTTCACAAGATGGGAAGTTGGAAAATATGATGTGAATGTGTACTTGAAAGGCAGAAGCTGAAAATAAGCATCTCAGAGAGAATAATGTGGGCGTATAAAGTGTTTGGCTAAAGGTTGAAATGTTAAACTGTATACCGTTGTCTGGTTTCTTTGAAGAAGTAGTTCACCTGTTGACGGTATGTAAGCCTACCTGTAGAGTAGATGCAGCTGAGTCGCTGGTCTCGGTCAGTCCTGTGCTCCTCGGTATACTGGACACCATGTATCTCGCTCCCTTTGGCACAGGCTGTCTGACCACCAGCTTTCCTTTCCTCGTCTCTGCTAGAAATAAACTGTACCAGTAGGCATCGTTGGAGACCAGAGTGGAATCCGCGATGGTCGAGTTCCTCTCGCTGATCACACTGTTCCTGCACGGAGGAGCCGCTTTGCTGGGCTTCGTTTTCTGACACTTCAGCACGATGGTGACCAATATAGTGATGAGTAAAAGAAATGAAACAGAGCCCAGTCCGATCACCAGATACAGGTTTAAATCGGAGAAGATGTCATATCCCAAAGGCACCTCAGTCATGTCAGCATAGGTTTTAAGGGCGGTCTCCACCGTGGACAGTTTGATGGTGACTGTAGCAGAGAGCGCGGGCTCTCCGTTGTCCTTGGCGATCACAACCAGCTGCTGGTGGCGCGAGTCTCTGTAACTGAACATTCTCGTGGTCCGGATCTCTCCGTTATATTGATCCAAGCTGAATAATGTGGCGTCAGTGTTGTGGAGGAACTGGTACGTGATTCGAGAGTTGTGCACTGAATCAGAGTCTATGGCGATGACTTTGGCTATCAGAGTTCCTTTATCGGTGGATCTCGGGATCTTTTCCTCCACCACCGAGCCGTGCGCGCGCCATGGAGACACTATAAGCGGCGTGTTGTCGTTCTGATCCATGATAATAATGTGAACGGTCACGTTACTGCTGAACGGAGGAACACCAGAGTCTCTGGCCTCGATGTGGAAAAGGAACTCCTTCTCTATCTCATAGTCAAACGTCTTTAGCGCGTAAAGATTCCCGTTCTCTGGGTTAATAGAGAACAGCATGGACATGGAGGTGTTCACTATTTCCTTCTCTATTATAAAATAAACTAAATACTGATTTTCATGTAGATCTGGATCTATAGCAGTTAAAGAGCTCAGTAAAGCTCCAGGTGCGTTATTCTCCATAACAGGTATCGTGTAGAATGTCTGTGGGAACTGAGGAACATTGTCGTTAACGTCCAGTAGCTCTAAAGTTATTGTTTCATTATCAGATAACGGCGGGTTGCCCCTGTCAGTCACGGTAATAGTGATGTCATATTCTGGAACCTTTTCACGGTCTAACGGTTCTGAAACTAATAATTCATAATAATTATCAGACGATTCTTTGAGCGCAAAAGGTAAATCATCTGAAATATGAATATCTACCTGCCCATTTTCTCCTGAGTCTTTATCACTCACACTAACAACTGCGATTACTGTATTAACAGGTACGTCCTCTGTCATTGGACTTGAGAATGATTTTATAGAAATTTCAGGATGATTGTCGTTCATATCATTTATCAATATAGTCAGTTTACATTGTCCAGATAAGGGATTTCCCCCCTTATCAGTAGCAATGACCTCCATATCATGAATCTTAAAATCCTCATAGCTAACAATTTCTTTGACTCTAATTTCACCATTTTCAGGATTTAAACTAAATGTGTGTTGTGTTTTTTCAGAGGTATACAGGCTGAATGCATAAACTATATTTGAATTTGAACCCTCGTCTAAGTCTGATGCGTTTAATTTCAATACAAGACTTCCAATCGGAGAGTTTTCTGTAAGGTTAATAGTATAACTGTCTTTATCAAATGTTGGGGCGTTGTCATTCACATCTAACACGCGCACAATAATACTTGCAGTTCCAGAACGTGCGGGGACTCCTCCATCTATAGCAGTGAGTATCATATTATGCGTTGCCTGTTTCTCGCGGTCTAATGGCTTTTTTAAGACTAAATTTGTAAATTTCGACCCGTCCCTTCCAGACTGTATGTCAATATCAAAATGCTCGCTTTCAGTTAGATAGTATGTTTTGATTGAATTTGAGCCAAAGTCTGGATCTACAGCGTTATTCAGAGAGAATCGTTCGCCAACTGGGGTAGATTCAGAAATATCAAGGTGCATTGTATCCCTCCTGAAGTGCGGTGCATTGTCATTGATATCCAGTATTTCAAGCTCAATATTAAATATTCTCTCAGGGTTATCGACTGTCACGTCCATCTTTAAAAAACACGACGATGTCTTGATGTTGCAGAGATATTCTCGATCTATTTTCTCCGCTATATAAAGATCTCCGGTTTCTTTGTTAATGTCCAGGTATTTTCTGTTACTAATGACATCTAATCGTATTCGCCGTTTGGTTAACGTTTTTAAATCTAACCCCAAATCTGTGGCTAGATTAGCCACAACGGATCCAGCTACCATTTCTTCAGGAATAGAGTAATGTGTGACGGCAGACGTAATGCCAAAGATCGCAGGGAACAGAAGGAAGATGAACACGTACCTCTGATCATCAGCTATCACAACAGCGCATCTCTTCACTGAAACTAATAATTCATAATAATTATCAGATGATTCTTTGAGCGTAAAAGGCAAATCATCAGAAATATGAATATCTACCTGTCCATTTTCTCCTGAGTCTTTATCACTCACACTAACAACTGCGATTACTGTATTAACAGGTACGTCCTCTGTCATTGGACTTGAGAATGATTTTATAGAAATTTCAGGATGATTGTCGTTCATATCATTTATCAATATAGTCAGTTTACATTGTCCAGATAAGGGATTTCCCCCCTTATCAGTAGCAATGACCTCCATATCATGAATCTTAAAATCCTCATAGCTAACAATTTCTTTGACTCTAATTTCACCATTTTCAGGATTTAAACTAAATGTGTGTTGTGTTTTTTCAGAGGTATACAGGCTGAATGCATAAACTATATTTGAATTTGAACCCTCGTCTAAGTCTGATGCGTTTAATTTCAATACAAGACTTCCAATCGGAGAGTTTTCTGTAAGGTTAATAGTATAACTGTCTTTATCAAATGTTGGGGCGTTGTCATTCACATCTAACACGCGCACAATAATACTTGCAGTTCCAGAACGTGCGGGGACTCCTCCATCTATAGCAGTGAGTATCATATTATGCGTTGCCTGTTTCTCGCGGTCTAATGGCTTTTTTAAGACTAAATTTGTAAATTTCGACCCGTCCCTTCCAGACTGTATGTCAATATCAAAATGCTCGCTTTCAGTTAGATAGTATGTTTTGATTGAATTTGAGCCAAAGTCTGGATCTACAGCGTTATTCAGAGAGAATCGTTCGCCAACTGGGGTAGATTCAGAAATATCAAGGTGCATTGTATCCCTCCTGAAGTGCGGTGCATTGTCATTGATATCCAGTATTTCAAGCTCAATATTAAATATTCTCTCAGGGTTATCGACTGTCACGTCCATCTTTAAAAAACACGACGATGTCTTGATGTTGCAGAGATATTCTCGATCTATTTTCTCCGCTATATAAAGATCTCCGGTTTCTTTGTTAATGTCCAGGTATTTTCTGTTACTAATGACATCTAATCGTATTCGCCGTTTGGTTAACGTTTTTAAATCTAACCCCAAATCTGTGGCTAGATTAGCCACAACGGATCCAGCTACCATTTCTTCAGGAATAGAGTAATGTGTGACGGCAGACGTAATGCCAAAGATCGCAGGGAACAGAAGGAAGATGAACACGTACCTCTGATCATCAGCTATCACAACAGCGCATCTCTTCATAGTGACTCGTTGTGTTAACACAGCTACAATTACATAAAATTACGAGACGAGAGTGAACGGCTGATTATTTCCAGGCCATAGACTCAACTGACCACAAAAGTGAATCGTATTCTCGCACAGCACGAACTACAACAGGATCACCTCCCTCAAGACTAACATGAAACGCACTCTCCTGCTGATTATGCGTCATGGCGGCTGAAAAATGTACCACTTAACATGGGTTTTTGTTGGTGAACAGCGACACATGGCGCCAAGTTTGTACATCCTGTATGATTGCGTTTTTAGCAGTAACAAAATGCTTATTTTAAGATAACTGCTTTGTTGTTTTTATTAGACTGCAAAGGAAGATTAAAGAAAATTACGAATGCCCAAAATACGCTGAACTAAAAAAAAAAACATAAAGAAAGATACATAATTTGTATTAAGGTTCATAAGGATGCGTTTCTTACCTGTAGTGTAGATGCAGCTGAGTCGCTGGTCTCGGTCAGTCCTGTGCTCCTCGGTAAACTGGACACGATGTATCTCGCTCCCTTTGGCACAGGCTGTCTGACCACCAGCTTTCCTTTCCTCGTCTCTGCTAGAAATAAACTGTACCAGTAGGCATCGTTGGAGACCAGAGTGGAATCCGCGATGGTCGATAGACGATTCTTTGAGCGTAAAAGGTAAATAATCAGAAATATGAATATCTACCTGTCCATTTTCTCCTGAGTCTTTATCACTCACACTAACAACTGCGATTACTGTATTAACAGGTACATCCTCTTTAACTGGACTTGAGAATGATTTTATGGAAATTTCAGGATGATTGTCATTTATATCTGTGAGTAAAATCTTTACTTTACACTTTCCAGAGAGACTATTAACTCCTTTATCTGTTGCTATAATTTCCATATGATATATCCTGAAATCCTCATAATTAATCATTTCTTTTACTCTGATTTCTCCATTGTCAGGATTCAGACTGAATGTCTGCTGTGTTTTCTCTGAGGTATACAAACTATAGGAGTAAATTATATCTGAATTGGAGCCTTCATCTTTATCTGTCGCGTTTAATTTCACTACAAGTCTTCCAATAGGTGCGTTTTCTGTTAGATTTATATTATAACTGTCCTTATAGAACTGAGGGGCGTTGTCATTCGTGTCCAGAACGCGCACAATAATGCTAGCAGTGCCAGAGCGCGCGGGGACTCCGCCATCCACGGCAGTGAGTATCAAATTATGTGAAGCTTGTTTTTCTCTGTCTAAAGGATTTTTAAGAATTAAATCAACAAATTTTGACCCGTCCCTTCCTGTTTGTATTTCAATGTCAAAATGATCATTCTCACTCAAATAATAAGCTTTAATCGAATTCGAGCCAATATCAGGATCCACCGCATTACTGAGCGAGAATCTCTCTCCGACTGCTGTAGATTCTGATATATCCAAATGGATCGCATCTCTCCGAAACTGGGGAGCATTATCGTTAATGTCAACAATTTCAATTTCAATGTTAAATATTCGAACAGGATTTTCGAGTATCACTTCCATTTTGATAAAACAGGTTGATGTTTTAACACTGCAGAGGAACTCTCGATCCATCTTTTCTAATATATAGAGCTCTCCTGTCTCTTTATTGACATCCAGATATTTTTTGTTAGATATAATGTCCAGTCGCATTTTTCGTCTACTCAGTGTTTTCACATCCAGTCCCAAATCTGACGCCAAATTAGCAACAACAGAGCCTTCCTCCATTTCCTCTGGAATAGAATAGTGTGTAACAGAGGACACTGTGTCCAAAATAGCGGAGAAAAACAGAAAGACCGTTACATACCTCCAAAACTGTGACTTTACGCATCCCTCCATTTTGCAGCGTTTGAGATATTTGTACTCCTCGCGGTCATGAAATGGTCAGAGAAACGAATAGGACACTCAGCGAAGCTCTTGTCATGGCGCGATCCTTTGTGCGCTTTCCTCCTACAGGAAATCTGTCATGGCGACTGAGACTATGATCAAAAGGGTTTTCTTAGAGAATAGCGACGCTCAGTGAGTACAGCATGAACATACACAATTAGAAGAGAACAGCCTTATTACAATAGGTAGTTTTCTATTTACCGCATTATTTGTATTTTTTTTTTTTTGTCCAGCACTCCAACCCCATCAATTCAGTGCTTGTTGCTGCGCTCAAATTGAGAAAATTAGATTTAAATGTGAAGATTCAAAATAGCACATGTAAAGACAAACAATATACAGGCCATGCAAAAAAATATAAATATGAAGACACTAAAACAATACAACTCTAAGAGGTAGAATGCCATTTTCTAAAACTGGGAAACACTTGTGTTGCGTATTATACAAAGGCGCACGAAATGATTATTCGCTTAGAAATTGTGCGTAAAACGTCAAGTAAATCTCTCTTTGATTATTGATTTAGATTGTCTTACCTGTAGTGTAGATGCAGCTGAGTCGCTGGTCTCGGTCAGTCCTGTGCTCCTCGGTAAACTGGACACGATGTATCTCGCTCCCTTTGGCACAGGCTGTCTGACCACCAGCTTTCCTTTCCTTGTTTCTGCTAGAAATAAACTGTACCAGTAGGCATCGTTGGAAACCAGAGTGGAATCCGCGATGGTCGAGTTCCTCTCGCTGATCACACTGTTCCTGCACGGAGGAGCCGCTTTGCTGGGCTTCGTTTTCTGACACTTCAGCACGATGGTGACCAATATAGTGATGAGTAAAAGAAATGAAACAGAGCCCAGTCCGATCACCAGATACAGGTTTAAATCGGAGAAGATGTCATATCCCAAAGGCACCTCAGTCATGTCAGCATAGGTTTTAAGGGCGGTCTCCACCGTGGACAGTTTGATGGTGACTGTAGCAGAGAGCGCGGGCTCTCCGTTGTCCTTGGCGATCACAACCAGCTGCTGGTGGCGCGAGTCTCTGTAACTGAACATTCTCGTGGTCCGGATCTCTCCGTTATATTGATCCAAGCTGAATAATGTGGCGTCAGTGTTGTGGAGGAACTGGTACGTGATTCGAGAGTTGTGCACTGAATCAGAGTCTATGGCGATGACTTTGGCTATCAGAGTTCCTTTATCGGTGGATCTCGGGATCTTTTCCTCCACCACCGAGCCGTGCGCGCGCCATGGAGACACTATAAGCGGCGTGTTGTCGTTCTGATCCATGATAATAATGTGAACGGTCACGTTACTGCTGAACGGAGGAACACCAGAGTCTCTGGCCTCGATGTGGAAAAGGAACTCCTTCTCTATCTCATAGTCAAACGTCTTTAGAGCGTAAAGATTCCCGTTCTCTGGGTTAATAGAGAACAGCATGGACATGGACGTGTTCACTATTTCCTTCTCTATTATAAAATAAACTAAATACTGATTTTCATGGAGATCTGGATCTATAGCAGTTAAAGAGCTCAGTAAAGCTCCAGGCGCGTTATTCTCCATAACAGGTATCGTGTAGAATGTCTGTGGGAACTGAGGTGCGTTATCGTTGACATTCATAATAATTATCAGATGATTCTTTGAGTGCAAACGGTAAATAATCAGAAATATGAATATCTACCTGTCCATTTTCTCCTGAGTCTTTATCACTCACACTAACAACTGCGATTACTGTATTAACAGGTACATCCTCTTTTACTGGACTCTGAAATGACTTAATTGAAATTTCTGGGTGATTGTCATTCATGTCGGTAATTATAATGGATAATTTACATTGACCGGATAATGGATGAGTTCCTTTATCTGATGCTATAACCTCCATATCGTAAATTTTAAAATCTTCATAATTAACCATCTCCTTCACTCTAATTTCACCACTATCAGGGTTTAAACTGAACGCTTTCTGTGTTTTCTCTGATGTATACAGACTAAATGAATGCACAAGGTCGGCATTAGAACCCTCATCTAGATCTGTTGCATTTAATTTAACAACCAGGCTGCCTATGGGTGAGTTTTCAGTTAAACTGATGGTGTAGCTCTCCTGATCAAATTTAGGGGCGTTGTCATTTGCATCCAACACACGAACGACGATACTGGCCGTTCCTGAACGCGGAGGAACTCCGCCATCCACTGCTGTGAGTATCAGATTATGAACTGGTTGGGTTTCACGATCTAGTGCCTTTTTTAAAATTAAATCAGCAAATTTGGAGCCGTCCCTCCCAGACTGAATTTCAATATCAAAGTGCTCCTTCTGGCTCAGATAATACGTTTTAACCGAGTTGGAACCGACATCAGAATCCACTGCATTGCTGACAGAAAATCGCTCACCCGCAGGTGTAGATTCAGTGATATCTAAATTGATTGTGTCTCGTCGAAATTGAGGGTTATTGTCATTGATATCTGTGATTTCCAGTTCTATGTAAAATATTCGCTCAGGGTTCTCCACTATAACTTCCATTTTTAAAAAGCAAGTGGTTTTGGCAGGACACAGATATTCACGATCAATCTTCTCTAGTATGTACAGCTCGCCCCTGTCTTTGTTTATGGCGAGGTATTTCTTGCTAGCAATAACATCTAAACGGATGTTTCGTTTAATCAAAGTCTGTACATCAAGTCCCAAATCAGTGGCTAAATTTGCCACGACAGATCCCACTTCCATCTCCTCTGGAATAGAATAGTGAGTAACAGCCAGAGCCGATTGATAAAATACTGATAAAAGTAAAAACAACGCGACATACCTTCTCCATGACCGGGTGTTCAAATCAGAATCCATTGTCTGATCAAATGCTTATGATGCAATGACAACGCAGTTCATGGAGCAACAAAGCATTGGATATGACTCCAAAATTAGATGCAAAAAGAACTGTTAGTGAAGGGATAAAATATTAAATGTTTCCTCGACGTAAACCGCAATATTTTGTCTAAAGCCAGAGTCGCAGAAAACAAGGGTTCATTGCAAAATGGCCAAATGTGATAATGACGTTGAAATTAAGCTCGCAGTGATGTGCAATGTGTGAGACTACAGCGCCACTTGGCGCACACATTGAGGTGCCTTAAAACTTGTACACGTTATGTTACAATATGCACTAACCCGCACAATTTATTATTAAACTTTTGTAATATTATTATTTTTTTAATTGCCTAAAAACAAGTACCATTATTGAAACATTCTTACCTCAGATTGGGTGTTTCATAAGTCATAATACATGTGCACAAAATAATAAAAAGGTAGACTATAAAATGTGATCTTACCTGTAGTGTAGATGCAGCTGAGTCGCTGGTCTCGGTCAGTCCTGTGCTCCTCGGTAAACTGGACACGATGTATCTCGCTCCCTTTGGCACAGGCTGTCTGACCACCAGCTTTCCTTTCCTCGTCTCTGCTAGAAATAAACTGTACCAGTAGGCATCGTTGGAGACCAGAGTGGAATCCGCGATGGTCGAGTTCCTCTCGCTGATCACACTGTTCCTGCACGGAGGAGCCGCTTTGCTGGGCTTCGTTTTCTGACACTTCAGCACGATGGTGACCAATATAGTGATGAGTAAAAGAAATGAAACAGAGCCCAGTCCGATCACCAGATACAGGTTTAAATCGGAGAAGATGTCATATCCCAAAGGCACCTCAGTCATGTCAGCATAGGTTTTCATGGCGGTCTCCACCGTGGACAGTTTGATGGTGACTGTAGCAGAGAGCGCGGGCTCTCCGTTGTCCTTGGCGATCACAACCAGCTGCTGGTGGCGCGAGTCTCTGTAACTGAACATTCTCATGGTCCGGATCTCTCCGTTATATTGATCCAAGCTGAATAATGTCGCGTCAGTGTTGTGGAGAAACTGGTACGTGATTCGAGAGTTGTGCACTGAATCAGAGTCTATGGCGATGACTTTGGCTATCAGAGTTCCTTTATCGGTGGATCTCGGGATCTTTTCCTCCACCACCGAGCCGTGCGCGCGCCTAACAACTGCGATTACTGTATTAACAGGTACATCCTCTTTCATTGGACTTGAGAATGATTTTATGGAAATTTCAGGATGATTGTCATTCATATCTGTGACTAAAATCTTTACTTTACACCTTCCAGAAAGACTATTAGACCCTTTATCTGTTGCTATAACTTCCATATCATATATCCTGAAATCCTCGTAATTAATCATTTCTTTTACTCTGATTTCTCCATTGTCAGGATTCAGACTGAATGTCTGCTGCGTTTTTTCTGGGGTATATAGACTAAAAGAGTAAAATATATCGGAATTCGGTCCTTCATCTTTATCTGTGGCGTTTAATTTCACTACAAGGCTACCAATAGGTGAGTTTTCTGTTAGATTTATAGTGTAACTGTCTTTGTCGAATTGAGGGGCGTTGTCATTCGTGTCCAGAACGCGCACAATAATGCTAGCAGTGCCAGAGCGCGCAGGGACTCCTCCATCCACAGCAGTGAGTATCAGATTATGTGAAGCTTGTTTTTCTCTATCTAATGACTTTTTCAGTATTAAATCAGCAAACTTAGATCCGTCTCGTCCAGTCTGAATCGCAATACTAAAGTGGTCGCTTTCACTGAGATAGTATGTCTTTACGGAATTTGAACCTGTATCAGGGTCTACAGCATTTGTGAGGGAAAACCTCTCCCCTATTGCTGTTGCCTCTGATATGTCTAAATGCATCGTATCCCGACGAAAACGTGGCGCATTATCATTTATGTCCATTATTTCAAGTTCAATATTAAACATTCGAATAGGATTCTCTAATGTGGCATCCACTTTAAGAACGCATGTTGTAGCTGATTTTGATGTGCACAGATTTTCTCTGTCAATCTTTTCTAAAATGTACAGCTCCCCAGTATCTTTGTTAACGTCAAGATATTTTTTATTAGCGACCACATCCAACCGTATTTTACGTTTACTAAGACTTTTCAAATCCAATCCCAAATCAGACACCAAATTTGCAACCACAGACCCTTCCTCCATTTCCTCAGGAATTGTGTAGTGAGTAACAGCAGCTGCTGTCTGAAACACAGAAGCAAGAAATACGAAGGTCGAGACGTACCTCAACCATAGTCGTGTTGTCGGTTCCATTGTTTTGATTTTCCTGAAAGTGCACACAGAAAGCAGGTCCAAAGAGTTCCGAACCGTGGATATGGTTCAAGAAAATAATTCGCGCAATGTAAGAAAATACAACTGGACCGACATATGAAAGAGCGAATGGTCCTGCCTGAAAGAAATACTGCAATGTTGTCCACAGATGAAGAAGCGACGGTGGCTGAATGACTAGAAAAGTATTTTCTTGGTGGACAGCGACTCTGTGCGCACAAGAGCGAGGAGTGCAGCATAAAGAGTAAAATTAGAAAATTATTTTAAAATATTGTTACGTTGGTTAAGGTATTAATCAAAAATGTTCAAAAAAAAAAGTGAAAAAAAAAAAAAATACCTATAATGAAGCTTTTCATATACTATATGCAAACAAAAGCAAATGACAAATGCAAGTCAGGTGATTTTCAAAACTGTGCCAATAAAAATGCATTACGTAACAGGTAATTAATACAAGTAACAGTCTCCTGATTGAGAAACATTTAGAGCTTGAAAGCAGCTGAATTATCTCTGAAAATAAGTAACTACACTGCATTGCGTAAAAGTGGTGCAACATATTTCTTATCTTCTTGTCTACATTTTCAGCAGATTAACTGCTGAACTAGCGAAATAAAAGCAAATACGCAAGTGCAAAGTTTAACCTAAATGGGTATTTTACATTACCGGGAAAAAAACATCCATAACTTATATTTTACCTTTTTTTTCTCTTTTTTTTCAATTCACTATGTGGCAGTGCTTACCTGTAGTGTAGATGCAACAATAAACAGGCCTTGCAAAAAATATGGATAAATATGAAGACACTAAAACAATACAACTCTAAGCGGTAGAATGCCATTTTCTAAACCTGGGAAACACTTGTGTTGCTTATTATACAAAGGCGCACGAAATGATTCTTCGCTTAGAAATTGTGCGTAAAACGTCAAGTAAATCTCTATGATTATTGATTTAGATTGTCTTACCTGTAGTGTAGATGCAGCTGATTAAAATTTTTACTTTGCATTTTCCAAAGAGACTATTAACTCCTTTATCTGTTGCTATAATTTCCATATCGTAGATCCTGAAATACTCATAATTAATCATTTCTTTTACTCTGATTTCTCCATTGTCAGGATTCAGACTGAATGTCTGCTGTGTTTTCTCTGAGGTATACAAACTATAGGAGTAAATTATATCTGAATTGAAGCCTTCATCTTTATCTGTCGCGTTTAATTTCACTACAAGGCTTCCAACAGGTGCGTTTTCTGTTAGATTTATATTATAACTGTCCTTATCGAACTGAGGGGCGTTGTCATTCGTGTCCAGAACGCGCACAATAATGCTAGCAGTGCCAGAGCGCGCGGGGACTCCTCCATCCACAGCAGTGAGTATCAGATTACTATCACTCACACTAACAACTGCAATCACAGTATTTACGGGTACATCCTCTTTCACTGGACTTGAGAATGATTTTATGGAAATTTCAGGATGATTGTCATTCATATCTGTGATTAAAATCTTTACTTTACATTTCCCAGAAAGACTATTAGCTCCTTTATCTGTTGCTATAATTTCATTTTAAGAATTAAATCAGCAAATTTTGAACCGTCCCTTCCTGTTTGTATTTCAATGTCAAAATGTTCGCTCTCACTCAAATAATACGTTTTAATCGAATTCGAGCCAGTATCAGGATCCACCGCATTACTGAGCGACAATCTCTCTCCGGCTGCTGTAGATTCTGATATATCCAGGTGGATGGTATCTCTCCGAAACTGGGGAGCATTATCATTTATGTCTACAATTTCAATTTCAAAGTTAAATATGCGCACAGGGTTCTCGAGTGTCACTTCCATTTTGATAAAGCATGTTGTCGCCGTTTTAGATGAACAAAGATATTCTCGATCCATCTTTTCTAATATATAGAGCTCTCCTGTCTCTTTATTGACATCCAGATATTTTTTGTTAGATATAATGTCGAGCCGCATTTTTCGTCTGCTCAGTGTTTTCACATCCAGTCCCAAATCTGACGCCAAATTAGCAACAACAGAGCCTTCCTCCATTTCCTCTGGAATAGAATAGTGCGTAACAGAGGACGAGGTGTCTAAAATAGTGAAGAAAAACATGAGGGCCGTTACATACCTCCAGAACTGTGACTTCACGTATCCTTCCATTCTGCAAGGTTTGAGATATTTGTATTCCTCGAGATCACGAAATTAGTTGAGAAGTGAATGGGGCACACAGCGAATCTCTTGTCATGGCGCGCTCTTTGTGCGCTTTCCTCCTATAGGAAATCTCTCATGGTGATTGTGATTATGACCAAAAGCGTTTTTTAGAGAACAGCGACGCTCAGTGAGTTTAGTCTGAACATACACAATAAGAAGAGAACAGCCTCGCTTGGAATAGGTGTTCTTCTTTTTTTACTATTTATGTGTTTTTTTTTTTACTCGATGCAAAGGAAATATGTGCTAATAGATGAAGAGCCTCAAAATAACAAGTAGAAAGAACAAAAACACAAGTTGTTTAAAAATATATGGAAAAAAATAATTGAGAAGAAATTAAACTAATTAAAATATGAAAGGAAAAAATCTCATATTTTCTCAACCTGAGAAACACTGAGTATGCTATATTAGGGTAGGGCGCACACACCATCTCTTCTCTTACAATCTGAAAGGAAATTGTGCATGAAACGTTATGTAAATCTTTCTTTGATAATTGATTTGGATTGTCTTACCTGTAGTGTAGATGCAGCTGAGTCGCTGGTCTCGGTCAGTCCTGTGCTCCTCGGTAAACTGGACACGATGTATCTCGCTCCCTTTGGCACAGGCTGTCTGACCACCAGCTTTCCTTTCCTCGTCTCTGCTAGAAATAAACTGTACCAGTAGGCATCGTTGGAGACCAGAGTGGAATCCGCGATGGTCGAGTTCCTCTCGCTGATCACACTGTTCCTGCACGGAGGAGCCGCTTTGCTGGGCTTCGTTTTCTGACACTTCAGCACGATGGTAACCAATATAGTGATGAGTAAAAGAAATGAAA